GTCATAGGGTAGCTCTATTTTTAATTTCTTAAGGTATCTCCACATCGTTTTCCAAAGTAGTTGCACCAACTTGCATTCCCACCAACAGTGTCATAGGGTTCCCCTTTCTCTACATATTCTCCAACACATGTTGTTTACTGTCTTGTTGATTTTGGCCATTCTAACTGGTGTATGGTGGTATCTCTGTGTGGTTTGATTTGAATCTCCCTGATAGCTAGTGATGATGAACATTTTTTCATGTGTCTATTAGCCATTTGTATGTCTTCATTGGAGAAGTGTCTGTTCATGTCTTCTGCCCATTTTTTGACATGATTATCTGTTTTGTGTGTGTTGAGTTTGAGGAGTTTTTTATAGATCCCTTTGTCCATAGTGTCATTTGTGAATATCTTCTCCCATTCTGTGGGTTGCCTCTTTGTTTTGTTGACTGTTTCCTTTGCTGTGCAGAAGCTTTTGATCTTGATGAAGTCCCAAAAGTTCATTTTCGCTTTTGTTTCCTTTGCCTTTGGAGACATATCTTGAAAGAAGTTGGTGTGGCTGATGTTGAAGAGGTTACTGCCTTTGTTCTCCTCAAGGATTTTGATAGATTTCTGCCTCACATTGAGGCCTTTTATCCATTTCGAGTTTACCTTTGCGTATGGTGCAAGAGAATGGTCGGGTTTCATTCTTCTATATATAGCTGTCCAATTTTCCCAACACCACTTATTGAAGAGACTCTCTTTTTTCCACTGTTTATTTTTTCCTGCTTTGTCGAAGATTAGTTGAGCATAGAATTATGGGTCCATATCTGGGCCCTCTATTCTGTTCCACTGGTCTATGTGTCTGTTTTTGTGCCAGTATCATACTGTCGTGGTGATCACAGCTTTGTAGTAAAGCTTGAAATCAGGCAACATGATGCCCCCAGTTTTGTTTTTCCTTTTCAACATTTCCTTAGCAATTCGGTATCTCTTCTGTTTCCATACCAATTCTAGGATTGTTTGTTCCAGCTCTTTGAAAAATGCCGGTGGAATTTTGTTGGGGATGGCATTGAAATTATAGATTGCTTTAGGGAGTATAGACATTTTAACAATGTTTATTCTTCCAATCCATGAGCATGGAATGGTCTTCCATCTTTTTGTGTCTTCTTCGATTTCTTTCATGAGTGTTCTGTAGTTCCTCGAGTACAGATCCTTTACCTATTTGATTAGGTTTATTCCCAGGTATCTTATGGTTCTTTGTGCTATAGTAAACGGAATCGATTCTCCAATTTCCCTTTCTGTATTTTCATTGTTCGTGTATAGGAAAGCAGGTGATTTCTGTACATTGACTTCGTATCCTGCCACTTTACTGAATTGCTGTATGAGTTCTAGTAGTTTGGGGGTGGAGTCTTTTGGGTTTTCCCTATAAATTATCATGTCATCTGCAAAGAGAGAGAGTTTGAGTTCTTCATTGCCAATTTGAATACCTTTTATTTCTCTTTGTTGTCTGATTGCTGTTGCTAGGACTTCTAATACTATGTTGAACAAGAGTGGTGAGAGTGGGCATTCTTCCCGTGTTCCTGATCTCAGTGGGAAGGCTGTTAGCTTTTCCCCTTGAGGATGATACTCGCTGTGGGTTCTTCATAGATAGATTTTATGAAGTTGAGGAATGTTCCCTCTATCCCTGTACTTTGAAGCGTTTTAATCAGGAACAGATGCTGTATCTTGTCAAATGCTTTTTCTGCATCAATTGAGAGGACCATGTGGTTCTCTCTTCTCTTACTGATTTGTTCTATCACACTGATTGATTTGCGAATGTTGAACCACCCCTGCATCCCAGGGATAAATCCTACCTGGTCACGGTGGATAAGCTTTTTAATGTGCTGTTGGATCCTATTAGATAGGATCTTGTTGAGAATCTTGGCATCCATATTTGTCAGGGATATTGGTCTGAAATTCTCTGTTTTGGTGGGGTCTTTCCCTGGTTTGGGGATCAGGGTAATGCAGGCTTCATAGAAAGTGTCTGGAAGTTTTCCTTCTGTTTCTATTTTTTGAAACAGCTTCAGGAGAATAGGTATTATTTCTTCATTGAATGTTTGGTAGAATTCCCCTGGGAATCCATCAGGTCCCGGACTCTTGATTTTTGGGAGGTTTTTGATCACTGCTTCAATCTTGTTACCAGATATTGGTCTATTCAGGTTGTCAATTTCTTCCTGATTCAGTTTTGGAAATTTATATGTTTCCATGAATGCATCCATTTCGTCTAAGTTGCTTGACTTACTGGCATATAACTGTTGAGAATAATTTCTGATGATTGTTCCTATTTCCTTGGTGTTAGTCTTGATCTCTCCCTTTTCCATTCATAATTTTATTAATTTGAGTCCTGTCTCTTTTGGATTATTTTTGTCATTGGTTTATCAATCTTATTGATTCTTTAAAACAACCAGCTTCTAGTTTTGTTGGTGTGTTCTTCTGTATCTCTAGTTTCTATCTCATTGATCTCTGCTCTAATCTTGATTATTTCCCTTCTAGTGTGTGGGGTGTGTGGGGTTAGCTTAACTTGTTGATTTTCCAGTTCTTTCAGGTGTAAAGACAGCTGGTGTATTCTGGATTTTTCAGTTTTTTTGAGTGAGGCTTGGATAGTGATGTATTTCTCCCTTAGGAGCGCCTTTGTCAGATCCCGTAGGTTTTGGACCAATCACACACATTCTTCATATGGTTTCTCTTTGTCTGAATTGACTGCTTTCAAACGATCGTTTTCATGTGCCAGATAGAGTTCTGTTTGACTTCTGGATGGTGCCCTGTGGGAAGACGACATCCACCATTAGTCCCAGTTCCTGGAGGCAGCAGAATGCCCCAAATACTCCTTGGTCAGAGCTCATTGGAATGCCTGGCTCTTTTGGGATCATCTGTTTTTATGCTGATGAGCTGGTACCTGACCGTTTTTTAAATTTCTCCCAATTTTGGCATTCATTTTCAAAGAAAAAATTTGGAAAGGACAGTGACTGGTTCCATAGGTGCTCGCCTCTCCTCCCTCGCCGCATCAGCGGGGCGCATTAGCTGCCTCGGCCTAGCTTTGCATCACTCAGTTCCGTGGGAAAGAAAAAGATGAATATGACCTGGTCCCGCCCCTGAAGGGGAGACGATGTCTGTGTGGGTGTGTGCGCATGCGTGGGTACATGCCCACGTGCATATGTGTGGGCGTGCGCGTGTAGCCCTCTCCGCGCACACAGAATACAGTTGAAAGTAAAAATGCAGTGCATTAGAAACACGGAAGTTTGAGTAAGTATACAGACCAGCTCTTGGATGACTACAGTGGGCCCCTTCCTGGCCTTTCTGCTAGTGAAGTGAGGGGGGAAATAAGTCGGCAGATGAGACGAGTACCCCTTACGTAAAAGTTTGACAACCGCTGCTCTAATGCTTCCCCTCCAGAACTGCCTCGGACTAGACCCCACAGTCTCACGTCGTCTGTTCCAAAAGATTGCCCGCTTGTCGCTGACGCCACCCAGCTAGCAGCCTTTCGGGAAGAACCCGTGACCCTCCCTGGCTTAGCATCCCTCGGTTGTTGGATAGAACCCACAGCACTCTGTGTACCTTAGAGGCTTCAGGACCTGCCCCTCAGCCCTGTCCCTCCCCGGCTGCCACGTGCACCCCGCCAGCCGCACCGCACTCTAGCTTCACGATTCTCAGTTGGAGACAGATCTGGCTGAACTCAGCCACACATTCTGAGAATTAACGGACGTCATTATTTATGGAGTGCAAGAACTGGCGTAAAAAGCACTTTGTAAATCAGCTTTAGAGTTTTCAGAGTCCTCATTTATACAAAGATACATAAAATGTGTTGGTCACTCAGCATTCACCGAAGAGTTACATGTTCTTTCGTGTCCCCACTGCCTCAAGACCATTCAGAGTCCTGTCAGCTTTCTCTGGGAAGGCTTTCCAGGGAGGGCATGGATGTTAGTGGTCGGTGGCTGTGGAGCAAATGGCCCCAGAACTGAGGAGTTTCAAACCACGGACTTTATCTTACATGGTTTTCCTGGGTCAGGAGTCCAGGAAGGGCTTAGCCGGGTGGTTCGGGATCAGGCTCGGTCATGAGGTTACAGTCGTCCCATGCTTGGCTGAGACGATCCGCCGCCCGGCTCACTCTCATGGTTGTCAGGAGGCCTCGGTTCCCTACCACGTGCCTCCTGAGCGTGCTTACACCATGGCGCTCCCCTTCCCCAGAGGAAGCGATCTGAGAGAGATGGAGACCAAGCTGGACGCAGAGGTCTTTTCTACCTAATTTCAGAGGAGGACATGCCATCCCTTCACCGTTCTGCTGATCACAGAGACCAGCCCTGGGACTGTAGGAGGGGTCAGAGCAGGGGTGGGAGCCAAAGGAGCTGGGAGGCCCTGGGGCCCGTGGAGGCTGGCTACCGCACCTGTTCCGAGAGGGGCTCCGAAGGAAGGAGAGGGATGAAGTTGTTAGGGAATCTGCAGTTCAAAGTTCAAAGGGCATTCAAAGGGCATTTGAATGCGGTTCAAAGGGCATAGTCCTGCTCACTTGTTTTTCTTCTAAACAGGACCCCTTTCCGTTTACCATTCAGTTCTCTCCACCAGCCCTCGCCGTGCAGACTGTGAAACACGCAGGCATTTGCCTGCAGCGGTTACCTCCTCCAGACAGGGAAGCTCCTGCAACTCAGAACCACACACACAAAGAGGCCAGTGTTACTAATAAGGGCTCCCAGGCTTGCTGTCTCATTTCTTTTAAACCTGAGGCATGCGGGTGCTGCTAATTTCCTGGGTGTATATAAATACAAAGCTCGGTTATTACTGGAACCGTTCTAGACGAGTGAACATTGCCAGGAACCTGGGTTGCTTGGGGAACTGAACTTCCTGGTTGCTGCTGTTTCCGAGGGAGGTCCCCCAGATCTGCTTGCCAGCGGGGCCCCTGTAGAATGAGAGGTCGTCTCCCGCCTTCCAAAGCTTAGTTGGTGAGTGACTGGGGAGTGGGACCCCGGGGCCCTTCGCTTATTAACATGCCTTGGGTGTCTTTGTCATCTTCAGGCAGGTTCCAGCGGTGGCCCAGAGCACAGAGTGTGCGTCATTGACGAAATCGGGAAGATGGAGCTCTTCAGTCAGCCTTTCCTCCGGGCTGTTCGTCAGACACTGGCCACCCCAGGGACTGTCGTCCTGGGCACGATCCCAATACCGAAGGGAAAACCACTGGCCCTCGTGGAAGAAATCAGAAACAGAAACGACGTTCAGGTGTTCAGTGTGAGTACAGCTGGTCCCCTGCGCCTATAAAAACGGAGCGGGTGACCTCAGACATGGGGGTGGCTTTGAAATGTACCTTTGCTTTGAATTACCATTTCCCCCCCTCGGAGGCCAGATCCAGGTGAGTCTGATTTTCTAGGAATTTATAGAACATACATTTTGCCTGTCCTCAATGACAAAACCCACTTCCCTGTGGCCAAAGTGTGAAACACAGCCTCCAGCTGCCAGAGAGCAGCACCGCGCAGTAGAATGGCCGGCGAGGGTGGAAATCCCCCGTCCGCACTGGGCGGTAGCCATCAGCCACTTGTGACTCCTTATGCTTAAATGAAAAACACATCTCTTCAGTCACCCTGCCTGCGTGGCAGGGCCAGTGCAGAGCGCGTCAGGCCAGGTGACGGAGGCAGAGCAGCTGCCCAGGCCTCACCCGCAGGTCCAGGGGGCGCACGGAGCTGTAGGCCCGCCCTGACCTCACGAGTGGGGCCCCAGGCCCGGGCCCAGTGGTGTGCTTTCACAAGCCCTCGTGCGGTTGTCAGGTGCCCGTCGGGGCGGGGGGTGGGTGTGTGTGGTAGAGCACATGTGAGTGAGGGCAGGCTCCTTCCTGCCAGCCGGTGGCCGTGTCCCGAGCCAGCGCCCGGGCCTCTGATAGCACTGCTGACACTTGGTCCACACACATGATGTCCTTTCCCCTTTGTCTCTCCGGGTCCTTCTTAGCTCGTTGTTTTGTCCTGAGCGCCTTCGTCTGTGTCAGGGAGAGAGCCACGTTCCCGGCTGCGCCCTGCCTGTCACTGCACCCCGCTGCCAGTGTAACGGCTCATAGGCCCACAAGCACCTTGTGAGTAGGTCGGGCTGGCTGGGCACCTCCACCTGGACACGGAGTGAGCGCCAGCCGCCCAGTACCACAAGCACCTTACGTCACTGGCTAAAATGCCACCACTGTGGCTCGCCCACCCTGTGGGACGTCCACATGTCATCACCAGCATATCCTGGGGTGCTCTTGCAGCAGTAAACCATGTTAGGGTTCGAGCAGCCGGACTTGGAAAAATTCGTGCCTGCCTCCCTTCGTTTACTCAGTAGGAAGTGAGCAGCACCATGTGCTAAGTGGTGATGCTGGCAGGGAGTGACCAGGTCGGTGCCCCCCGAGCGCGCAGTCTAGCAGAGGCTAGGCCCACCAGTGTCAGCCAAGTGGCCGCAGCATGTATCGACAAAGGCAAAGAAAACAACTACTGGGGTGATGTGGCCCTGGGGCTGGAGGCCTTTGGGAAGGGAGGTGCTGACCCAGGAGGGAGCTGCCCAAGGTGCTGAGAACCCTGCAAAGTCACGTGCTCAGTGACGTCTCCAAAGTCTGGGGGGCCCTTGTCTTCAGAGTTTCCTGTTGCTCTCACCATCTCTTACTTTACATGGCCTCCAGGTTAGAGTTTTTGGTTGTGATTCTAGAGTTTCTGTGGAAGTAGAGTGAGAGAGGAGGAAAGACCATTCATCTTCGGGCCAGGCGGCTTCCAGGCTGGAAGGTGGGGCGTTGCTGCCCTTCAATTCCGGAGACTGGCGGTCCCTGCAAACCAGTGTCATCTCCAAGTCCTAGATGGGATTGAGGGGCTGCGGCTGCTATATCCAGGAAAAAACGGTGTAATCTTAAGATAATAGCACATTTTCTCCTAGGACTGGAAATTATTCTCCAGGCAAGGTAATCATTGCTCCTAATGATGTGTAAATAAAGTGACTAGCTTTGGGTTAATTATGTAAGAGATAGGGGCTCCCACGCCCCATTGTTCTTATCTGTCTGTCCTGTGTTCCTTTCAGGCTGGTGTGGGCTTTCTCTTCCCCTTTTACAAATGAAGAATCTCATTCTCCTTATCGCAAGTCCAGGGGTGGGATTAGATATTTCCTGGTCCTGTCCCTTTCTCATATGCAGGGAAGTTCTCTGAACCCTGTCTGAGAGCAGCCCGTGCACCCAGCGCTTCGTCCAAGACACCGCAGAAGCATGTTCCCTTCCCTCGAGAGACGTAGGTGATGTGACATCAACATCCGGAAGCAGAGAAGGGAGAGAACTCTGTGGGGAGAGGTGGCCCGGGGGACATGGTTCCTGGGTGGGTTTCGAAGGAGGAAGTGGAGAAAAGAAGGAAGAACATTGCGGGTGAGGAAGTAAGTTCTGTAGCCTGGGGAGGACCCCCTCCCCGTGCTGACAACCGAGCATGTTAGGACATGGTCGTGGGACTGAACTCAAGAGGGAAAGGATTCCACTGAGTTACTCCTGTTACCTAGATTTACTGATAGCATCGGTAAACAGCACTCCTTTTCAGAAAGAACCCCCTGAATGCTTCCTGTTCCACAGAAGGTGGATAGATACACTTGCCCTATCCCTCCTCTCAAGTGGAGCTGAAAACCTTGGACATTACGTATAAAGCAAACATCAGGAGACCTGGAGGGTGGACAGAAGAAGGCACACTGGCTGGGAAGTGCAGCCAGAGGACAGCACAGCAGACACAACTGAACACTGCCTGTCCTACCAGGCACCAGGACAAGCAACTGGAACAGAAAAAACATCACGTGCCGACAGCAAGGAGACGGAGATGCTGGAATTACAGGGCGGGATCCTGAAACAGCCGTGACGAAAGTGCTTCAGTGATCAGTTACAAACATGCTGGAAACAAGTGAAAATAGAAAGTCTCAGTTTTAGCAAAGCTATAGAAGACGTAAAAATCAAAGAAAAACTTTAGAACTGTAACGTACAGTGACTGAATGAGAAAGTCTGTGGAAGGACTCCTCAGGAGAATGGAGGCGGACAAAGGGAATATTCGGTCAAGTTGAAGGTAGGACAATAGAAACTGCCTGACAAAGAGCAGACTTTGGGGGAAAAAACCCACCAAAAAAAAAAAAAAAAAAAAAAAAAAAAAAAGCCTCAGGGACTTGTGGTACTATAATAAAAGATCTAACATTCATGTCATTGGAGGATGGTCTTGGTAATTTAGAAGCTTCTATTATCATGGTGCAGGTATGGGTATTGACAGTCCCCTTCCTGAAAATGTTTCTCTTTCAGAAGTTTGGTTAATTTTGTTTCTAATGTCTCGTAGAGTTTACCAGTCTCTAAGTGGGGCCACCGAAAAATGTTTTCAGTTTATTTCACATTTGCTTGTCTGAGCATAATTATGTGAATGCTGTAGAGACAAGACAGAAAGCCCGTCACGGATCAAGATGACTAGAAAGAGCTGTGTGCACTGTTTCCCTGGTTCTGTAGCAACATGAAGAAAATACCCCTGCTGGCCCCCTCCTACCACGAGCACGCACAGACGTGTGAAAACGTGCACGTGCATATACACACACGAGTTCTGTTGTTGTAGTGGCATTTAGAAAGCTTGTCTCATTTGATTTCCTTTGAAATATCTGCTTGCTGGAAATGCTGGCAAAGTTATCTGCCGAGGGCCCAGAAGGGACAGCTGGAGCCTGGAGCCTTGACTTAGATGCCACTGTGGGCACCAGGCACTAAGCACCTGGACTGAGGTGCTGTGCTTGGTCCAGTAGATCACCGGGGCACATAGACCTCACAGTACTTGCTGAGGTAGATCTGCAATCTGTATTTTATCAATGAGAGGCTGCACAGCATGTCCAGGGTTGTCGGCTAGGAGGTGGCACAGCTGGGACTCAGACTTCTGTCTGTCCGTCTGCACGGCCTACGCTCTGGCACAACCCTTTTGGTGATAGGGATGGTTCAGATCATTTTGCTAAAAATACCTCAGATTACTAGAAATTATTTGGGTTTTCTACTTTATAAAATTTTACTACGACTAAAATCTCTTCCACTGTGAATTCAGAGCCCTTTATACTTCTTTTTTTCCCATAAAGCAGTTTTTAGACTTTTACTTTTTATTTGTGGATTGCAAGATCACAAGAGTAACAGGAACTAGGTCCTGATTTCCTTCCAGTTTGGGCATTCGTAGACCTCTGCTTGCTCATTCCTGCCATGGGTATTTTCATCACGCCAGGCATAAAGCATTTTTATTTCACCAGGAATTCGATGCTGTCCTCGGGGTCTGTGGACTTCTGTAGATAACAGGAGTGAGGGAGGGTCTGTTAAGCTCTGCTTCGAAAGCCAGCAGGGTGTTTGTGGACACTGACAAGCAAGCGAATCCTAAAATGCATGTGGACATGCAGAGGACCCCACTGAAACAGTCTTGGAAAAGAACACTGTTGGGAGACTCGTGCTTCTGACTTTAGAACTTTCCACAGAGCTACAGCGATCATGATAGTATAGGACTGGCCGAAGGCTAGACACACAGATGCGTGAAAATCCGGAAATAAATCCTTACATCTAAGGTCAGTTCATTTTTGGCAAGTGGGCCGGGACAACTTAATGAGGAAAGAATTGCTTTTTAATAAATGGTGCTGGGAGACTGGATATCCGCATGCAAGGGAGCGAAGTTGGTTCCTAACATCGTACACCAGAATTAACTCAAAGTAGATCCTAGGCCTAAACTTAAGAGCTAAACTCTACAGCTCCTTTTTTTTCTTTAATTTATTTATCTGAGAGAGAGCATGCATGCAGGGAGGGGCAGAAGGCGAGAAGCAGACTCTGCTAAACTCTGTGCCTCGTGGAAGAAAATAAAGGAGCAAATCTTTGTAAACTTGGGTCAGGCAAAGTCTTACTTGACACAACATGAAAGTAATTTTTGGTTTGGAATCTAACCTTTGTGGGAAAAAACAGAGCTAGAGGGACTGGATTTAGGAATCCGCTTATTTTTAGGTTCAATAAAATAGCATGAAACAGGCTAGTAATAACTTTTGATATGTGTTAACTTAAAACGAGCATTGTCAAATTTCTTTCCGTAATCCTGTGCTTATTAGGGATTTGTCAAGGTCCTTCCCACCGTTTCAAGGAAAATAGGCGGTTTTGTTTTGCTTTCTTGCATGTCGTGTATAGGCACTTAGGGGCATTTATTTCCTGCATATGCCTGTGTCCAGAGAGTCACAGCTACTCTGATGTCCTGGTGCCCAGGTTGTTGACTGGGAACTCTCAGGCCCTCCCATGGTCCCTGCAGACAGCACAGAGCAACTTGGATGCTTGAGATGGTCAGGATCTTCATAATCTGTCTTTTACCACTCAGCTGTATTTCAGAGATAATATTCAGATATTTTCAGAGATCGGTTAAGCTTAGATTTTAATGAACATTTACTGAGCTACCACCCCCTTGCCCCCGTGTGCCAGACGCAGGATGAATGAATTGCCTTGGTCCCCATGGAAGTCAGGGTCTATGTGTCACCAAGTCATCAAGGGCCACCGCGCTGGGCAGGGGCTCAGCTTTCCCTGGGCTTCCAATCATTTTCTGGAGGCCACAGTGTGGAGGGGAGGGCAGACCAGCTTCCTTCCTTGTTCTCTTCCTCGCCCAGTACCCTCTCCTGGCCAGTCTCTTGGGAAGGGCTTTCCGCAGAACCAGATCCTTGGTGGTTGACTACAAGACGGGTTGTGCATGCAGAGAAGGGCCCCCAGCAGGCCAGGTGGTGCTCCGCTCGCTCTCGAGTTTGAGAGCTTGGCTTTGGAGTACAAGCGCGTCTGTAACTGAACACCGTCGACAGTTTCAAGTACACCTCTAACTGCGTGATTCTCAGAAATCGTCTTAGGGAAATCAAAGGCGGTGGCGGGGGTTTAGTTAGCCAAATATTAATGTAGTTTTACATTCATCAATTTTTAACATGAAAACATTCCCAAAATGTACCTTTCTCGGTTCTTATTTTTTTTCTGTGGAACCAAGGCTTGGAGAGCATCTCTGCATGTGGGACGCCCCGCCGCTGCCGGGTGCCCTCAACTCCCAGCAGTGGGGCAGGGGCTCGCTCCCACCTGGTGAGAGGGAGGGGGCGTTTCTCACCCGCGGGCTGGGTCCTGAGACCAGTTGCCGCCTGGTGTTCGTGGTGCCGATGGAGAGGACTGGAGAGGACGGGGCATTTCCCGGGAGCACGGGATGGTGCCTGCGTGGCACTTGAGTGCTCCTCGGGGCTCCTTTTGATGACCTCTGCACTCCCACCCCTGTGAAATCGCACCCCTCTGCCGGCTCCATGTCTCCTTCGTAAATGTTGTGTTTCTGGAGGCAGTGAGGAGCTGCTGAGAAGGGAAGTGACCTCAGATGCCCCTCACCTAGGAGGCCTCCCTCTGAGGCACACAGTGAACTCTCAGACCCTGTGGGCGGAGCCTGGTGTCACGCTGCGGTCGGGGCGCAGGAAAGGGAACTAGTGGCCCGTCTGCTCTCTGCTGCTGAAGCCACAAGCCCCTCGACAACCCCGCTGAGCTCCCACCGCCGACGCTCACCTGTCTCCCCCTTTCCTCCCTTCACATCCACGCGCTTCCTTGAATGCAAACAGCAGAAACGGACTTTGGCTCATTTGAGCAAACACAGCAACAAAGAGCCTTGCCAGGCCGCGCGGTGCTTTCTCCTCAAGCTGGAGGCAAAGCTGATGGTCCCCATTTCAGTGGGACCAGAGCTGCGAGGGAGCGACAGGGTGAGGACAGGTGCACCCTGTCCTTGGACAGACGGCTGAGGGGCGGCCCCAGCTGTTGGCTGCTGAGCTCGCTCCTTTCAGGAGTCGGGTTCTCCGGATCTCCAGGGCCCGTCCACACTTGGGGACCGTGAGCTAGTTTCCTAGACTGTGTGGTCTCCCTGGGGGAAGTCCCAGCGCTCTTAGAGGAGGGCTAGTGGATGTGGGGGAACCATGGGGATAATGCCCCTGTGCCTCTCCCCATCGGACAGTCCTCCAGCACCTGCCCTGTGCCGGGCGGGCCGGCACACAGCGGCGGCTCTGCAGTTTGCAGCGGGCAGGCCCACTCCCCTCTCAGGGTGCGCCCGCACTGACCCGTGGCTTCGCAGATGTGTTCACTCGTCTTCGCGTGGTTCTTCGCCTGAGTCCTTCTCTGTCTGGGTGACCTTTGGGCAGAGCCCGCCTGGGAGCCTTTCGTCACCCTGCCCACCCCAGCTCCCGTGCGCCTCTCCGGGCCTTCTGTCCTGGACTGTTGACCGGTGGTGTTCTCACTGGCCTTGTCTGCTCCGCTCTTCTCTTCAGGCTCCCTATGGAGTCCTCCCGCTGTCCCTGGCACCTTGCTCAGTTTCTAGTTGATGCCCCGTCAGTGTTAAGTGGGTGAATGTTGGGGCGTGCCCATCGGGAAGGCCATGGTGATGGCAGGAGTGATGGCCCTGCCCTTACTTGGGGAGACACCCCCCCAATCCAAAGTTCCAGGAGGTGTCTGAGTGCTTTCCTTGTACTCGTTGGGACTGAACTAGTAAAGAAAAGTAAAAACGGATCACGGGGTAGAGCTTGAATAGGCCCTTGGTTACATTGCGTAAGGGCAGGAACTACAGAGAGTGCTCCCGGAGTCCAGAGACCCGGTCTGAGTGTGTACTGTCCCCCCAGCTGCCTCTGAGATCTCTGGATGTCCCCGCGCTTCCCGGGCCTAGCATCCCCCTTCCGTCAGATGTGGAGTTGACCCGTGCCAGAGGCACCTCACCACACTCGGTTTTTCTAAGTTCATGGAGGTGAGATCACTGGCCTTTGGGCCTTCCGTGAATCCGGGTGTGACTCATGGCCGCGTTGTGGCCGCTCTTGGTGGGCCCCTCGTAGGTGGCTCTCCTGGCTTCACTCAGGCACTTCCTTTTGTTCAGGTCTGGTCACACAGGGGTTGCGTCCCTCTGCATTTCCATCGTCCTTCCCGGAGCCCCAGCAGGGACTTGTGAAAAGCGCCCAACCTGCTTCCATGGTCCGAGCTGTCCGTTTGCAGAAGCTGGGGCTGGGGTTCCGGCAGGCCTGTCCTGTCCGCAGAGCGCCCTCCAGCTGGGCCGCCTCCCTCAGTCCCGAAACTCGCGGCACCCTCTCTGGGCTGTTTGGGCTCTTCCCGGAGAACACGGTCTAGCAGAGGACTGAGGAAGAGAAAGGATTCTGAAGCCCGCTCTCCTGCTTCTCCCCACAGGTCACCAAGGAAAACAGAAACCATCTTTTACCGGATATTGTGACGTGTGTGCAGAGCGGCAGGAAGTGAAGACGGTCCGCACCCCTGCGCTGCGCGCTTAAAGGAATGTGCTGTTTCACACGGAGCCTGGTGGGTGCTCCGCCTGTCAGAGATTTACGCCTTCGGGCTTACCAAACCTTACGGGCGTTTCCAGAGAAAGCCCAACAGCTGTTTTCCATAAAATGTTTAAAAGCTCACATTAGCCCGAGTGCTGGATTGGCCCGACGAGGTGAGCCGTCCGCTGTGGCTTGTTCTTGCTGAAAGATTTCTCTTTATTTCCTCTTGCAGTTGTGCATACGATTTTGGCAAGTTATGAAATGAGGAATGGTTTTCCGAGTATCAGATGGAACTTGTCCCCATCGAAGTTTGTGTGTTCCGGGGAAGGGGGAGAAGGGCGTTCGCTACCTAATCAGTTTTGCCCGTTGTGAAAATTAACCCCCTCTCCAGGGGTGGCTTCGGCTCCCAGGCGTAGGAGTTAGTTGTTTTTTTTTTAAATGGTTACTTCAGAGAAAAGCCGTTTGGGGTCCTCCCCACGCATCTCATTGTTCATGTGATTGCTTACTGCTTAATAAAAAGAAACAGAAACGCGGTGGTTGCAAACACGGGAGTCCGGTGTGGGAGGGGCACGGCGTCCTCGGAGATGCTGAGAGCTGCAGTGCCCCGCGGGCTCGGGCCTGGGGGTTCCGGTCAGAGGCCCCACTCTGGACACATCAGCTTAGACGTGGCCTTAAACTCTTCTGTGCCCCGTTTCCCTTCAGAAAAAGGGGGAGATGAGTGTCGTCAAAGGAAGGCAGGGCCACCGCACGGGAGGACCCATCATCAGCCGCCCGTGGGATCCCCTGGAGAGGGCCCGGTGCCTCTACACCAAGAGTCCTGGTGGGGAAAGCTCAGGCTGAGCCCACAGCAGGGCAGCTGCAGGAATGCCAGAGTCCCCGAGGCGTAAGACTTGCCTTCCTGGTGGCTGGTGGTCACTGCAGTGATAAACCGCACATTGCTTTTAGGTCATTTCGGGTGAAGATCTATGAATTTCCAGGATATTTTAGCAACTAGCCTTAGCTCCAAATCCAGCTGGCGTTCATGCCAGGTGTGTCTCCATCTGTCACCGAGGCCCCATCTGGCCATGTGGAGCCTAGACTTGTGTGTCCTGTGAGCCGCGCGCTGGGCACACTGTGCCGGGAGCACTTCAGTTTCTAACCCAAGATGGCGGTCGGGAGCCGGTGATGGGCTCTCTGGTCAGGATCCCTTCCTCAGCGCTTTCCCCTAAGGGAGCCTCCTGAAGCTTGGTGTGGATTTGCTAAGCCTTTGAGGGCTCACATGTGAAGGGCCTCCCGGACTGTGAACTAATCTCATATGAAGGGGTCACCTCTGTCCCACTGTCCCCACCCGGTTGGGTTGTTCAGGGAGTCCGAGCTCGTGCTGACAGGCGGATGTGACTTCTGCCAGGCCCTTGGGGACCGAAGGAGCACTGCACGCAGGTGTGGTCTGGCAGCCCAGCCTCTGGATCAGACCTACTCTCGTCCAGCCCAGATGGTGCCGAGGAGCCCTCCTTGGCCTCAGTTGACCTGAGAAAGGGGACAGGCTGGGGAGGCGTCACCTGTGTGCCCCCTGAAGACAGAGCCAGCAGGGAGCCCATCAGATGGAGGCTTTCTTGGCCTCCAGGGGTGCGGGCTCGTCAGAGCTCTCCATGCGGAACAGACTCGGGGCGGCCCCCAGCATGCGTGCGGGACAGGGAGCTTCTGCACCCTCTCTTTAATGGTAAAGAAATGTGTTTTTCGTGACAGATGGAGAGTTTGAACCAAGTCCCTGTGGCTCCAAAGCCCATGCTCTTTTTTTTTTTTTTTTTTAAGATTTTATCTATTTGACAAAGATCACAAGTAGGCAGAGAGTCAGCAGAGAGAGAGGAGGAAGCAGGCTCCCTGCTGAGCAGAGAGCCCAACGTGGAACTCGATCCCAGGACCCCGAGATCATGACCTGAGCAGAAGGCAGAGGCTTAACCCACTGAGCCACCCAGGCACCCGCCCATGTTCTTTTTTTTCTTCCCACTGTGTTGGTGCTTTCTGTCCTTTTCCGTGCATCCCGTGCCCCCGATCTCAGCGTTGAGGGGTAGCTGCGATCAACCGTAGTGGTCGTCAGCTGGAAGATCTCGGGGTGCTCGCTGCGGCAGAGTTCTTGAATGATTACCGTATGCCTCTGGCAGATGGAATGCTCAGGGGCATGTGTGAAAGTATCCAGTGCTCTCCCTGTCTTCTAAGAAATGAAGCCTAAGAGAGGATACTGTTATGGTCTGAGTATTTGTGTCCCCCACAAATTCGTGTTGGGCTCTGACGCCCGGTGTGATGGTGTTAGGTGGGTTTTGGAAGGGGCTGCGGTCATGAGGGAGCCCTCAGGAAGGGAATCAATGCCCTGATGAAAGACCCCGGACGACTGTCTCCCTTCAGCCCCTGGAGGTCATGGCGAGAAGTGGCCGTCTGTGAACCTGGAAGCAACGCCCTCACCAGACGAATCTGGTGGCGCGTTCACCTTGGACTTGCCAGCCTCCAGCACCGTGAGCAGTAAGTGCTGTTTGTGGGACGGAAGAGGATGGAGTCAAAGATATGTCCGACTCGGCCGCACACGCGCAGCCCGTAGTAAAGGCTAACGGGGGAAGAGAGGCCGAGGCAGGGCACCATCCGAGGCTGCTTCCCCGGCTGGCTCGGGCCCAGCGGAGGGGCGGACGCATACCCAGCCCTGTGGGTGCCGCTCCCTGAGAGCAGGTGCACTCGGTTAGAGACGGGTGGGGGGCCGGGACAGGCTGACATCAGGAGTTCACATGTATTCCTGAGCTTGAAATGCCTGCCCTCCAGCCAGGCCCAGACACCTAGCAGACACTTGGTCTGGGGCAGGACTCGAAGGAAGAATTTGTTTTGGAACGCGTGAGATGGACGTATGTGCTGCGGTGTGACGGACTGACGCTGGAGTAACAAGGCTGGACGGGCCAGAGCGGAACCGATCTGGGAACGAGTTTACGAAATCCTCCTCTCTCTTCCCCCGGAGCAGACTGTTGCACCAGCTACTTACCACGTACATTTAAAAGATGATTTCTTTTTACCTCTGAATAAGCACGCGGGCAGGGAGGACAAGTTTTCAAAGGCACAGACTGTCCCCTGACGGTCAGGCCTGATGCACCTGGCTCAGTCCACTCCCGGCCTTCCGGTCAAGTGCAGGGCGGGAGGGCGATGGCGGCCCAGGAAACGTAAAACCGGCCAGATTCCTTTCTGTCTTTTTGGGAGTTCATGAGGGGGTGTCTGGGAAGGTCGCCCATGCGCGCACACGTGCGTGTGCAGGCGTGCTGGTGGCGGGTGCCACGTCCCTGGAGCATAATGATTTGGACGAAACCTCGGGGCAGCGGAGGGGGCTGATGGGGGTCAGGAGACAGGGGTCTGCGCATCGCCCACTTGAAGGAGAAGCCGGAGCATCGCGTGATTTTAGAACAGCACTTGCCAGACAGATGGTCTCAACACACTATGCAAAATTTAGAATCAATAATGCCAGATTAGCCCCATGATTTATATAAAACCAAGCACTACAGTTTTTAGATCATTTTTAGAGGAGAAACAATTTCGTTCGGTGTCCAAATGCAAAAAGTAACCCCGTGGTTGTATGCCGACTGCACATTGCAGGAGCCCCAGCCCGAGATGCCATCTTAGCAGCATTTCCTTTAAGTGCGGGCGAGTCCAGTCTTTTGCAAGGAATACCCTGGATAAACGCTGGACTGGCTGAAGATCAGGCTAACGAGCGTGTGCGTGCGTGCGTGTGGCGGGGGGCGCCTGCGCGGCTCAGTCGGTTAAATGTCCGACTCTTGGCTTCAAATGGGGTCATGACCTTGTGGTCGTGGGAGGGAGCCCCGAGTTGGACTCCGTGCTCAGCGTGAGTCTGCTTCCCCACCACGTGCGCACGCGCCCCCTCGTCCCAGTTTTCCAGCTGTCAGGAGATTCACGTTCTGCGGCACAAGGTGGCTTTCTGGAGTTCTTACTGCCGGATGCCCACGGGGGTGGTCGGCCCACAAGAGGCCGACTTAATTCAAGGAGATGCCCTTTGTGGGAAGGCCATGCCCACAGCTCAGGACCAGCCATTTAGTCCTTCGGGCTTGGCTGTAAGATTGCCCAAGAGGATTTCAGGGACTACCCGCCAGGTTTGGTCTGGCTGACTTCGAGAAGTGCAGTGAGGTGCCAGCAGCCTCTCATTGGAGAGACCTGCATTTCAGTCAGTAACCAACTTTGCGTCTCGGGGGCTGGCTGGTTTGAGAATAATGCACAGTGTCTCTGATTACACAGACACCTGGTACTGTTAATTGGCAATTCTTATTTTGGGGAAAAAAAATTACCATCTGCTTCCAGGGGTAAGAAATTCTCTGCCATGCCCTCCCCTAGTCCCCACACTTCAAATCATAGATACCTTGAAGAAATATCTCCAAAAGACTATTTCTATGATCCTATTTCTATGATTTCTATGAACCATCCCCAGAAGGGCTGGTTCACCAGGTCAGTGATGCTATTCTTCACAGATTGTGTTTCAGGACCCCTTCACCCTCCCGTACATCCACAAGGAGTCCGGTTTCTGCTTTCCCCAGGTTCCACTTGGGGAAGGTCCCAGAATTTGCCCGAACACCGTTCTCCCAGTAGGGATGCAGCAGAGCTCACACAACCGGACACAGCAGTAACTGTAAACATTTTAATTCCAAAAACACAGGTGTGTGTGTGTGTTCTGTGACATGGGAAGGATGGCTTGGCTTGGAAAACAAGCGAACATTCCTGCGAGTGGACAGGTGCGCCGGGCAGCACAGGCCCGGCTCGTGGGAAACCGCGTGAGTGCGGTCGAGCGTCCTGTGAGTCTGAACGGCTTTCCGTTCTCCCGCAGGCCTCGATGTCTGCACTCGGGTCACTAGTATCGCTGGGTCTTGCGCGGGATACTTTAGACATGACTGCATGCACTACCACGCTTCAGTAAAGCTGGTTTGTACTTAACATCTGCGTAAACGTGGTGGAAAAGGTGATGTTTTCTCTATGCAGAGATGG